GTTTCTCCAAGACCATGGTGTTACATATGACATATAACAGACAATCAACACAGGACTACATAGAACCTGACAGTGACTGTACCTGACAGAACAGTACGATACAGACACAACAGTGCAAAATAAATGTGAAAAAGACTGAGTATTGTGCAAAAAGTAACGTGGTGTATGAAGGTGTGCGTGTGTGTGAGAGAGAGATTCTGCCTATAAGTGCTCGGTAGTGATGTGTATGAAGGTGTGCATCTGTGTGTGTCAGTCCAGTCACTAACTGTTTAGGAGTCTGACAGCTTGGGGGAAGTTACTGTTTCGCAGTCTGGCAGTGAGGGCTTGAATGCTCCAGTACCTCTTGCCAGAAGGCAGCAAGATGAAGAGTGTAGTGAGGGGTGTGTGACGTCCTCCAAAATGCTGGTGGCTTTACAGGTGCAGTGAGTGCGATAAGTGTCCATGATGGGCTTCAACGATCTTCTCAGCTGTTATGGTGTCTAACAACATCAGCTTAATATCACCTCTATCACCTTAGTAGAGCACTTCACTCTCAGACTGCAGGCTTATTTTGGTTCCTAAGGTATTTAAAAGTAGAAATGGGAGGCAGAGCCTTCAGTTTTCAGGCCCTCTTCTGTGGAACAGCTATCCAGTTTGGATTCAGGAGACAGACACTATCCCTACTTTAAGATTAGGCTTAAAACTTTCCTTTTTGCTAAAGCATATAGTTAGGGCTGGATCAGGTGACTCCTGAATCCTCCCTTAGTTATGCTCAATAGAGTCTAAGGCTGCCGGAGGTTCCCTGATGCATTGAGTTTCTTCCTTTCAGTCACCTTTCTAACTCACTATGTGTTTATACAGACTCTCTGCATTTCAATCTAATTACTCTCTGTGCTCTCTTCCACAGCTGTCGTCTTTAGTCCTGTCTTTCCTTCTCTCATACACAGCTGGACACGGCAGATGGCCGTCCCTCTCTGAGCCTGGTTTTGCCAGAGGTTTCTTCCTTTTAAAAGGGCATTTTTACTTCATCTATCACCAAAGCGATTGGTCATAGGGGGTCATATCATTGTTGGGGTTTTCTCTGTATTATTGTAGGGTTTTACCTTCCAATATAAAGTGTCTTGAAGCAACTGTTGTTGTGATTTGGAGCTATAAATAAGCTGAGTTAAGTTGAGTTGAATTAAATTTAAATCAATCAGAAATGATGAGGAGGGTAAAATCTCAACGGCCTCCACCTGTGAAACTATTCTGGTTTTGAACATTGTCTTGTTTTTGCATCTCTGGCACACCTGTTGTTGATTTCATCAACATCCAAGCCACTAAAACTGATTAACAACCCCCTCTCTACTTAACTGACCAGATCAATATCCCAGAAGTGTAATTTAATTGATCCTATACTCAAATTCTTTTGAGCAACACAAAAGAAGAAGAGAAGTCAAACACTGATTTATGTCCTATCTTGTTGTTCTTAGGTAGGCATGATTATATGCTGATTATACTTGTGGTGGACCTTGACTTAGTATCTATTGCAGAACGGACTACATCCTGACTGATGTGTCTCCTTCAGCTCTTGGCCATCGCTGGTCTCATGCCTTTGATAGGGCTACTGCTTTGGATATCGTTTCTCTTCAATCTTCAACTCATCCACCAGGTAGTTATTTGTGTCAATCATATTGATCATTTATGCATTGATATACTTGTTATTATATATAATATGTGTATATATATATATAAACACCCAGCACGCCCCTGCGGGCGGTTTATCCTTCAAGCTCGGGTCCTCTACCAGAGGCCTGGGAGCTTGAGGGTCCAGCGCAGTATCTTAGCTGTTCCCAGGACTGCGCTCTTCTGGACAGAGATCTCCGATGTTATTCCCGGGATCTGCTGGAGCCACTCGCCTAGCTTGGGAGTCACCGCACCTAGTGCTCCGATTACCACGGGGACCACCGTTACCTTCACCCTCCACATCCTCTTGAGCTCTTCTCTGAGCCCTTGGTATTTCTCCAGCTTCTCGTGTTCCTTCTTCCTGATATTGCTGTCATTCGGAACCGCTACATCGATCACTACGGCCGTCTTCTTCTGTTTGTCTACCACCACTATGTCCGGTTGGTTAGCCACCACCATTTTGTCCGTCTGTATCTGGAAGTCCCACAGGATCTTAGCTCGGTCATTCTCCACCACCCTTGGGGGCATCTCCCATTTTGACCTCGGGACTTCCAGGTTATACTCGGCACAGATGTTCCTGTACACTATGCCGGCCACTTGGTTATGGCGTTCCATGTATGCCTTGCCTGCTAGCATCTTGCACCCTGCTGTTATGTGCTGGATTGTCTCTGGAGCATCTTTACACAGCCTGCACCTGGGGTCTTGCCTGGTGTGATAGACCCCAGCCTCTATGGATCTTGTGCTCAGAGCTTGTTCTTGTGCTGCCATGATTAGTGCCTCTGTGCTGTCTTTCAGTCCAGCTTTGTCCAGCCACTGGTAGGATTTCTGGATATCAGCCACCTCCTCTATCTGCCGGTGGTACATACCGTGCAGGGGCCTGTCCTTCTTGTCTCATTTCACTCTTTACTGTACCACTGCACATGGTTGGAATGACAATAAAGCAAATTGACTTGACTTGATTTCTAAGATTTTTAGTGCCCAGAACAATAAACTCAGTTTTATCTGAATTTAGAAGCAGAAAATGACAGGTCATTCAGGTCTAGATAAAGTTGGGTGTTATCTGTCCAGTGAAAATGAATGCTATGTCTTTAATGTTATTGTCTGTATAATGTAAACACAACTGGTCGTAGGACAGAACCCTGCACTGCGGTCCAGCAGGAAAAGCACAAAAGTGAGTCCACTGTCAGAGGCCATAAGAAGGTCATTTGTTACCTTCATTAATGGCTTTTCAGTACTGTAATGAGTTCTGAAACCTGACTGAACTCTTCTAATAAACATTTTTTTTCTACAGATAAGAAAATAGCTGTTTTACAACTACTCTTTGAAGAAGTTTTGAAAGAAAAGGAAGGTTCGACAGTGGCCTATAACTTGATAAGACAGCTGGGTCAAGTGTTTGGAGGCCTGTGGTATGCAGCCAGTTAATAGGCCCTGTCAAGGAGAGCTGGACAGGACCTTAGAATGTTCTTAACCCATCAACAGGACAGGTAACTCCTTTGTGCAAAAAGGAACAGGATGAGCACTGTCAGAGCCCTAAAAAATTCTGTGAATGTCTCTTTCATAAGGGTGGCCTGAGGGCCAGTCGTCCTCTAGTGGACCCTGTCCCTGACACTGTGGAGGGTCTGGAGAAGCCATGGCAAACAGTATGCTGCCTGTAATACTGTTTAGTATGGTGGTGGGTCAGTGATGGTCTGCGGAAGCATATCAAAGTGACGCACAGAACTCTACAGGCTAGGCAACAGCTCTCTGACTGCCGTTAGGTATCATTAGGAATTATTTGAGTTTAGAGAAAGATGTTTAGACTTGTCTGAAGACAAAGTTATTCAGTTTCTCTGTGTGTCAAGTTAAGAAAAAAAAATCTGCAAATTCTAGAATTTGTAGGATGATGTAATCTACAGGTTTTCCGTTTTGTTTGGGGTTTTTTTTGTTAAACAAATATTTAAAATATGAGTCATTGAAGTCTTTATTTGCCATTCCTTTACCAACTGAATAATCAACACTGTTAATCAGTTTTAGTGATCTGTCTGACCTTCATTCTCCTGTCAGTATGCACAAACCTTCGTGAACTTCTTCGAGTACTGTGGCCTGTAGATCTTGATGATGATGCCGATGCTACACGGGACAAGGATCAAGACCAACGATAACATAATTTCACCATGAGGGGCAGTGTTCTGCACGCTGGGGAAACCCTGGCAGTAGATGTAGAGCAGGAGAGGCATCATACCCAGAGCCAACACTGTAGAGCAGGAAGTCATCACGATGCTGGAGAAGACAAGGATGAGACAAATACGTTGCTTTACTCTGAGCTATGGAAACTAGCCTTTCTGAATTAAAAATGACATCTGATTCTCACAGACTTCATGATTTCCCTATTCCTCGTATTTTACTGACCCCATTAACCCTTCTCATAACTGCACAACGCTAAATGTCCTTGTCAACCTGATGTTCAAACAATTTACTAGAGATATTCCTGCTTCCTGGAATATTCCACTGACGTGCTGGACATTAGATAGAGATATGCCAGAATCTAACCGAACTGTCTGAATTGTGCTTGTCTTGGTGTTATATTTGAAAACTGCACAGGCAGACACAGTGTGAGAAAGTTCGCAAACACAATCGAGTGGTATAACTGTTGTAAAGTTTTCTGCCTGAGCATTAATCACTTCAAATGACATTTTTAGCTTCTTTTTGGTCATTATAAATGTATTACAACTACATAATTTCCCATGTGTACCTGAGGTTCATGTCCCCCTGTATAGCCAGAGACATGGAGTTGGAGAAAATTCCTCCAGGACAGCAGCCACATACCAGAACAACCACACCTGTTATATCACTCAACTGGAACCCCTGTAACACAAAATCCCAATAACCTCTTGCAGGATGCTGTAAATAACAGTAACAATGTCTAATAGTCTAAAATACAATGTCTGGTGTCAATTATATACTGGTACATCAACACAAATTCAATTATACTGGGCAACTTTTGTCATGTGCCTTGGGAGTGTCTGGGAGGTGTTCCTCTTTGTTAGAGGAGTTCCAGATTTCCGTCCTCTGGGGTGGAGTTTCCAGCACCTCACCTGCTCCTCGTTTCAACGGCAATCAGTAAGTAGGGTTCTTAAACCAGCACTGCCTACCACTCTCCACCAGTTTGTCCAGCTACTGTTGTGGTAACTCTGACTCCTTGTGATCAAGTTCATGCTCGTCTGTCCCAGGTTTAACATTGCCTTACTGTTCTCAGTTCTATCAGATTAATCTCCTGCCGTGTGACTCTTCAGCGCTTGTCCTGTTCGGTTCTACTACATCAGTCAGTTTACAAACCATGGGGTTCACACTCACCACGCTCCTTGCCCTGCCTTCCTGACTGTCGTGGCTCGCTTGGATTTTCCTCCCTCTGGACCTCCTGGAAACCATACCGTCTCCTCTCACGTGCCCACCTGCCATGAATCTGCCTGATTGCCAGTTTGCCTGAGCTGAGTTGAGTAACACTTGGCAGTACAGCTCTGTTAACCTCTGTTTCCCATGTGAATTTCTAGTCTGTTCTAACTACGTTTACTTGTATATAAATCCCTGGACCCATCCCTATTTCCTGATCTGTTCCCCTGAGTCTGGCAGTGAGGTGTGGAGTGAAAGTGAGCGTGAGTGCTGAAGAGGATTGTGAAACTGGAGAGTCTGTGTTTTTTGAACCCGTTTCCCTTCCATCCCTGGATCCCTCAAAATCTCAGTCCCATGCACTGTAAATAGTTTCACTTGGTGTGATTGTTAATAAACTTGTGACTTTTATTCTAAATTCATCTGGTCTGCACCTGAGTCTGTTCCACTCATTTTCCTCACATAAAAAAATCTGTTTTTGGTTCTTCTTTTTGGTTAACTCAGTGTAATTTTCACATTTTTTATTATGAATCCCTGTAAAAAGATTTTTGTGGGGAACACAAATCATAAATCACTGTCTGTATTTGTAAATTTGTAACTTTGTAAAGACAAATGTGTATTATTTATACTGCATATTAGTAATCTTATTTAACTTTACATAAATACCAACCTTAACTAAGCAAAAGGCTGTAAGAGGCATGATCCCATACTGGGCCATAGCTGCAATAGCCAAACCCTTAGGTTTCATGATGTAATTCTGTAAACAGAAGAAGTTAGCAAAATTGATCATAAATTTACCAAACATGTATCATGCCACTGTGTTTATATTAACATGAACACGGCGGCATGTCTTCCCCTTCTCTCTCTGCCCCCACTTTCCTGTCCCTTCTTCACTGATTCTATCCAATAAAGCAGAAAAAGGCCAAATGAAATATATATATTTTTTAAAAACTAAGATTACTATAAAAAAGTGCATTTTAATTGAAAAGGGTAAACTTTCATATATTCTGTATTTATTACAATAGATAATGTTCAGAAATCCAGTATCTCAAAATATTTCTATATTTTATTCCAGTTTGAGTAAATTACTCAAACCATGAATTCTTTGTTCCATCCAACCATCCACTTCTTTTCTGCTGCTTATCCAGGTTCAGGTCATGGGGCAGCAGTCGGAGCAAAGAAGCATAGTCTAGCCTCACCCTGGCCACCTCTTCCTGCTCATTTGGGGGACACTGAGCCATTACAAAGGCAGCTGAGAGATATAATCTCTCCACTGAGTCCTGGGTCTGCCACAGACCCTCATCCCAAAACGAACATGCCCTAAATACCTCACCTAGAAAGCATCCATGAGGCATCCTTGTCAGATACCCAAAACATCACAACTAGCTCCTTTCGATGTGTGGGACCAGCGCTGCTACTCCAAGTCCCTTTTGATTGGCTGAGCGCCTTACCCTGTCACTAAAGGAAAACTCAATCACCCATTTGTATCCTTGACCTCATTCTTTTTGAGTCATTACCCATAGCTTGTGACCATAAGTGAGGGTTAAACAAAGATTAACTAGTAAATTTACAGCTTCACTTTTATGCTTAGCACAGAATGTGTCAACCTGAAGAGAGAGGTATCCGTGAGGCCAAGTTAGACTACAAGAGAAAGACCGAAGAACACCTAGACAGCAACAAAGGCAAACAGGTGTGGATGGTATTCAGCACCTTACCAATTAAAGGAATAACTTCGGAGCTGTGAGAGGATTGCCTCCAGGGTACGACCCCAGTAACCCTGCCCTGGGTAGGGTAGAGTGGACCCCTGTATCGAGTATAAGGGTATACTTGATATAGGGTTTGTCTGAACAAAAACAGAATCAAATCGACTTTATCAATTGTAAACGGTATAACTTTATGGTCTTTACTTTACAATATAAAGTGCCCTGAGGCAACAGTTGTTGTGATTTGGCACTATAAAATAAAATTGAATTGAAAATCCAAATTCAGCTGACTACCAGGAGACTTTAGAGGACTTTGAGCTTCCATCTGTTGACAATCTTTATGGAGATGTAGAGTTCTTTTTCTAACAGGACTTATTACCTGCACACAGAAATAAAACTGATAATTTTTATGATGACCATTTTATTAGGCTAGTTTGCTTGGCTGGTCATCCAACTCTCTTGGGTGAATCCTACATAGAGTCTATGGGGTATCGTCAAGAGGAAGAGAAAAAAAAACAAAGCAAAATTACAGGTGAGCTAAGGTCCATTATCAAATCATCATAGCACCTCAGGAGTGCCACGATGCACTAATTAATGGAAGACCCAAGCAGAGTGTATAAATCAAGAACTGTTCCAGAAGTTGTAAATAATTTAATGACTGCTCTTAGGTGATGGTCTAATATTTTGAGACACTGGATTTGTGATAAGTATGCCTCCCTTTGTAGGTTTTCTAGGCATGCCCACCTAGAAATCACTGGAGAAATTATCTACAACAGGTAAAATAAGCATTTCTAAGTAAATATATTTCTAAAGGTGCTACTGACATGAAATTCTCATCAGATGTTAACAACCCATCCAATCCACACATGCAAAGAAATCAAGCCATAGATGTCCATTAATTAAGTTATGTATAGTAATGAGAAATGACACAGGGAAAAATTATTAATATTTCGTACAGAAGTCTTTGTTGGTGATGACAGCTTCTGTACGGAGAAACTAGTCGTGTGGATTGGTCAGGTGTGATTTTGGCCATTCTTCCACATAAATGGTCTTCAAATCCTGAAGGTTCTATGAACTCTGAGCTCCAGCTCTTACCACAGATTTTCAGTTGGATTCAAACCAGGTGACTTGTTGGGCCAGTCTAGTTTCAGAGAAAGAAACTCAGTTTCCTTCGATCTGTGTTTAGGATCACTGTCTTGCTGAAACGTCCACCCTTCATCGTTCATCATCCTGGTAGATGGCAGCAGATTGTTATCAAGAATGTCTCGGTACATTTTTCCATTCATCTTCAATTATACGAAGATTGCTAGTATCGTATGCTGAAAAACAATCTCACTCCATGATGTTCCCACCTTCAAACCTCACTGTCGGTATGCTGATTTTGGGGTAATGTGCAGTGCCTTTTGACCTCAAACATGGTTTTGGTCTCACCTGACCAGACTACATTCCCCCAATATTTCACATGCATGTCTAAATGCTTTTTAGCAAGCTTTAAACATGCTTTAACATGCTTTCTCTTCAGTAATGGAGTCTTGTGTGCTGAGGTATGTATGGTGTACATACAAACCATGGCAGTTGAGTGTTTTTACTTGTTTTCTTTGAAACACTTGTGCCTCCTCTGATGTTTCTTCTCACTCGTCTGTCTGGTAGTACCTGGTCATGTGCAGTTTATGGTGAAATTATGTTCTTTCCACTTCCAAATTATGGCCCCAACAGTGCTACACTGCAATCTTCAGTAGTTTAGACATTTATCTGTAACTAATGCCATCACTATGATTTGCAACAATAAGGCTGCGAAGGTCTTGAGAAATCTTGTTGGTTTTACCCTTCATCTGATGCTTCTTGTGTGGTAATGAGACACCTTTTTATAGGCAATCATTTGGGACTAAACCAGGTGAAATAGATTTGCATTAAGCGGCAGGATTGCTTTCTATTTACTGATTTCAGTTGGCTACTTTTTTCCCTGCGTCATTTCTCATGAATGGATCAAATGGTTTGCTACCAACATCTGGTGAGAATTTCACATCAACTATATTTACTTAGAAAAAATGGTGATGTTCATTACGTATTTTATCCATTATATTTCAACATGCTCAGCAATTCCTTGCAGGAACTGGAATATGTTGTCAGGCATAAGGACATCATCGAAAACCCTGCTTACGTGTAATTTTTTCAAGCTTTGTCACAATGCTTTTCTGCATATAGACAAATCACACATACATTCGCATTCACTGCTGATCTTGGTCACCTTGATCTTAGACACCTCCATGGTGCATCCAAGTGAAACCATGGTGATGATGATTATGATTGTAAACATTACTGTAATGACATTGCCAATCACTGGGTCCACAGCAGGACGGTAAAATGAGGTGGTGTTTGCAACCGTCACATTGCGCCACAAATCTTGATGAGGTGTCAGGTTTGCTGTGTTGTTCATGGTGCCTTCAAATCAGAACAAACATGAGGTTCTGAGCTGTGAGTGAAAAAACAAAAGTGGAGATGAAGGAGGAAAGAGAGCAGAGTAAGACTTAAACAGAATACCAGCATCTTTGTTTGTTTACATTCTGTTTTGTCCTTAAACTTTGTGAAGAAAACTTCTCTAGCAGGAAGTTCACACTCTGTCTTATTGAGGTATCCTTATGATATAGATTCTGAGCTGTGGTAAGATAATTTTCAGATGCAGTTTGTTAAGCTGTATTTAAGTAATAGAACCTAAAGAAGCCAATAAATTGCTAAAATAAATGCAGAAAATTCATGTATATGTACTTTTGTTTGTTATGCTTGGTTTAATGTTCTGTTAAAGCTGTCATATGTTACAGCACTGTAGTAAAGACTATTCAATACAGAGAATGATTTCACTTTAATTTGTCCAATAATAAAGAAATAAAGCCCTTTAAAATCTCTGTGTGTAAGAGTGTCACACCTGAATGCCTTCTAAGAACTTTGTGTTCAAATTGATGAGTTTAAAGTTTAACAGCTGACACTTTGGGAATGAAACAACAACTGTAACAGTACACTCTGGAATACTTAAAACATATCTCAGCATTGGTCTTCTACCTTTTCCTCGGGACCTGTGTTGACTGAAGCAGAAAGCCTGTGTTAATAAACAAGGTTGATAATGGAGGTTTTAAGAAGCACTTTATAATACAGCTCACAACTAAGGGGGGAATTCCTGTAATTAAATGAATTTCAAGTGTTACATTTAAAATTATAATGTAATTGCACTTAAATACTTAAACGTAGGCAGACCAGAATAAAGGGTTTATGTTTTTACATGAACAAGGATAATAAATTAAGTAACTTAAGTCGTGCATAAGTAATTTGAAGTATTCTCTAATTTCATGGTAATTTTGCAGAAAAACAAACAATATTTTCCTATCTTACTCTGAAAATATGTTGTATTTTCCAGGGTGTTGGTCATATTATGAAATGCATAATTTGACCTTTTACATCATTTTTTTAAACATCTGTAATTAATACTCACTACACTGATGTGCATGAGATTGAGGACTGTTTTCCCTTACCAAAGTTTAAGAAAAACTTAATACCAACAAAATTTGCAGGCTTATGACCTTATAATGATGGAGCCAAGTCTAATTTAATTTGTTTGTTTTTTACAATCACTGTTCACAAAGGAGGGTCTCCTTTCCTGTAAGAAACCAGCAATGTTACTCTGCTCCATTATACAGCCCACATCTCTAAAATGATAACGCATTTACAAGTTGAAACAACAACTGTAAGATGGAGGGATTTTCCACAAAATTAACAAGACATTATGCAATACTTAAAATTACTTACAGTATAGTTTGTCTCCTATCCTTGAGACTACCCAGAATTTAGACACCACTTAAAATTAATTGCAGTACAAGAACTTTGCCAGCTTTGAAAATCACAGTTACATGTGCTGCAAACTGTCAAAATTTGAAATGCCTCCAAGTTCTTTTGGAACGTCTTTCAAGACATATATGGTGCTGCAAACTCAGATTTTGCTTCCCAATGTGAAGACATGATAGATTATGTAAGGTTGGCTGTGTGAAAATGTTCAAGAAAAGAAGTCAAAATTATCATGCGGAACAAGCTGATATTTCAGTAAAAGTAATTTTAGGAATGGCGGAGAGTTAATTTAAGCTAGAAACAGAACATGTCCTGCAGGAATTTAATTCAAGCGATTTAAAAGTTCACTTTCTTCTCCATTTCTAACATACATACATACTGTGCACATACACTGAATCTTTTCTTGACTTTTAACACTTGGGTACAACATGTTTAACTAACTAACTAACTAACTAACTAACTAACTAACTAACTAATTAAGTAGTTAACTAAACAATGCATATTCCTCACTGGAAGCTACTTAAATCTGGTTAATCTGTGCACTACTGAGAAACAACACGCAGCATTTAATTGTTTCAAACTTCACACTCCTTTATCCACATGCTGTGTGCACACAAATTGCTTTCACAAGATTGCACATTTGTGTTTTCTACTCTGCTGCATGAAAAAAACAAAACAAAACTACAGCCCACCAATGCTTCATAAAAAAGTCAAGACTGACTTCTGGAGTTTGCTGCAGGTGAGAATTGCACACCTAAACCCAATAGTTATTCTGCAGAAAGCAGAAAAAAGAAAAAATGAGAAACATCCTCAAGATGATTTTCAAGAAATAAACAGTTGACAGATATGTTTACAGGTGTATTCAATGCTGGGTTTACCTTTTAGGTCAGATTCTTCCCTTGCTCTGCTCTCGTCTCTTTGTCATAAAATAAACTCCTTTTGTGTTGACGCTTGTTTCATATGATTCAAATGACACATGGAGGCCTCTGGTTGTCCAGAGGTGCCATCTAGTGCACAGCTGACTTCAGCACCTACAGAGGAGACCATCCTCCTCCAAATAAAACTAAAATAAAATAGAATATTATAATACTATAGCACTACAAGACACTTTATTTTAGTTTTCAAATATTTGCATCATCAATTTGGAAATAATTTATTCATCTCAGAACATATATGTTGTTCCGACCACAAGTAATCTACATATTGTGTTTGGTATCTGTACAGCTGGAGTGGTTTGTGTGTGTGCTGTGCTTGGATATTATATGTGAAGTCATGAGTGGAAATCACGATCAAATGAAAGCTCCCGAAAGACCAGAGCGGCCTGTCATTGATTGTGTTCAAATCCCTGTGCTTACCCACAAACCTCCTATTCTTGTCTATTCTTTTTTTTTAAATTTTGTCTTTTTCAATAACAAATCGGGCAGTTGAAGGTTTTCCTGTAACTTTTGACTACAGACAGAGATAAATTAAATGTATGATTTCAAGTCCAATTTTTGTCACCACTATTTACTGTGTTTTTATTAATAAATTGTGACATCCTCTGCAAAATGTTATATTTACATATATATCAGCTTTTTTTTGTTTTTTATTTATAAAAAAATTGTGACAAATATCTTGTATGTTGCTGGTCCATCCCATCCATCCATCCTCCACTTATCTGGGGTCGGGTTGCGGGGGCAGCAGCCGCAGGGAAGCCCAAACCTCCCTCTCTCCAGGCAACTCCTTCAGCTTGTACGGTGGAACACCAAGGCGTTCCCAGGCCAGTCGAGAGACATAATCTTTCCCGTGTGACCTGGGTCTGCCCCGGGTTCCTCCTCCCGGTGGGACATGCCCGGAACATGTCACCCAGGACGCGCCCAGGAGGCAGATGCCCAAACCACCTCAACTGGTTCCTTTTGATCCAGAGGAGCAGCGGCTCTACACTGAGCCCCTCCCTGATGGCTGAACTTCTCACCCTATCCCCAAAAGTTTATTCTGTTCATCTGGATGTAGCATTTTCAGTGGGAGAAACGTTTCTACTTCTTCAGTCTCAGCTAACTGCAGGTTTCACCAATCTTATAAACAGTACATTTGCATAATGACTGAAAGTGACTGAAGGAACAATGGGCTGGGAGATAGTCTTTTGAAATTAAATTTGCCTCCAATTAGTCCTAGCAACGCGCTTTCTTCTGATTCTGACTGTGTCCAAATTCAGGGGCAGCATGCTTTGAAGGCCGCGTTTGAAGGCAAACATCACAGCGACGCAATGAAGACTGTCCAAATTCAAAGACTCCTCCAAATGCAGCGACAAATGCATCC